AGTGTCTACGACAAATAGACATCTACGATCATTACAGGGCGACTACAAGTGTCTACGACCTCTAGACATCTACGATCATAACAGGGCGACTCCAAGTGTCTACGACAAATAGACATCTTCGATCATAACAGGGCGACTACAAGTGTCTACGACAAATAGACATCTACGATCATTACAGGGCGACTACAAGTGTCTACGACAAATAGACATATTCGATCATTACAGGGCGACTACAAGTGTCTACGACAAATAGACATCTACGATCATTACAGGGCGACTACAAGTGTCTACGACAAATAGATATCTACGATCATAACAGGGCGACTACAAGTGTCTACGACAAATAGACATCTACGATCATTACAGGGCGACTACAAGTGTCTACGACAAACAGACATCTACGATCTTTACAGGGCGACTACAAGTGTCTACGACCTCTAGACATCTACGATCATAACAGGGCGACTCCAAGTGTCTACGACAAATAGACATCTTCGATCATTACAGGGCGACTACAAGTGTCTACGACAAATAGACATCTACGATCATTACAGGGCGACTACAAGTGTCAACGACAAATAGACATCTACGATCATTACAGGGCGACTACAAGTGTCTACGACAAATAGACATCTTCGATCATTACAGGGCGACTACAAGTGTCTACGACAAATAGATATCTACGATCTTTACAGGGCGACTACAAGTGTCTACGACAATAGACATCTTCGATCATTTCAGGGCGACAACAAGTGTCTACGATCTGTAGACATCTACGATCATTACAGGGCGACTACAAGTGTCTACGACAGTGTCTACGACCTCTAGACATCTACGATCATTACAGGGCGACTACAAGTGTCTACGACAGTGTCTACGACCTCTAGACATCTATGATCATTACAGGGTGACTACAAGTGTCTACGACAAATAGACATCTACGATCATAACAGGGCGACTCCAAGTGTCTACGACAAATAGACATCTTCGATCATTACAAGGCGGACTACAAGTGTCTACGACAAATAGACATCTACGATCATTACAGGGCGACTACAAGTGTCTACGACAAATAGACATATTCGATCATTACAGGGCGACTACAAGTGTCTACGACAAATAGACATCTACGATCATTACAGGGCGACTACAAGTGTCTACGACCTGTAGACATCTACGATCATTACAGGGCGACTACAAGTGTCTACGACAAATAGACATCTACGATCATTACAGGGCGACTACAAGTGTCTACGACAAATAGACATCTACGATCATTACAGGGCGACTACAAGTGTCTACGACAAATAGACATCTTCGATCATTACAGGGCGACTACAAGTGTCTACGACAAATAGACATCTACGATCATTACAGGGCGACTACAAGTGTCTACGACAAATAGACATCTACGATCATTACAGGGCGACTACAAGTGTCTACGACAAATAGACATCTACGATCATTACAGGGCGACTACAAGTGTCTACGACCTCTAGACATCTACGATCATTACAGGGCGACTACAAGTGTCTACGACCTCTAGACATCTACGATCATTACAGGGCAACTACAAGTGTCTACGACCTCTAGACATCTACGATCATTACAGGGCGACTACAAGTGCCTACGACCTCTAGACATTTACGATCATTACAGGGCGACAACAAGTGTCTACGATCTGTAGACATCTACGATCATTTCAGGGCGACTACATGTGTCTACGACCTGTAGACATCTTCGATCATTACAGGGCGACTACAAGTGTCAACGACAAATAGACATCTACGATCATTACAGGGCAACTACAAGTGTCTACGACAAATAGACTTTGAGTACGGTTACAACTATGACTTCTATGACTATTTCAAATTTATGACTACGACAACGACTACTTCGATAAACGATCGACCATCATTACGACTTTTACAATGTCACGCTATTATAGCTATTTACGTTAATGCAAAAGACCTTTTTGAAATTGGATGCATATATCCAACGTATACAGCTTACGTAAGATGCGTAAGTTTTCAACCAACGTATACCGCTCACGCGTGAGCTAAGTACGTCATAAGCTGTATACGGTGCAACAAAGTGTACAAAATATGGACCCAAGCACATTTAAGTTTGAAAGAAATTGTAAATTCTGAGAACAATAATGAATTCTTTATTATTATTATTATTATTATTATTATTATTATTATCATTATAATTATTGTTATAATTATTATTATTATTATTATTATTATTATTATTATTATTATTATTATTATTACTTAAAAATCAAGCTTCTCTTAGAAATGAACACGCATTTAAAGCATAGACTTTAAGTAGATCTAAATAAAATTGTATTTATACTTGTAAAGTATTTTTAAATGATATATTCTTTTGTATATTTTATGTTATATTCTGTTTCGTTATATACTATCTTATCCCATTGACTTCACAATAGCATGCAACAAATTACAATATACGTCATAATTTGAAAAAGAAGTCTTTAAAAAAGCGCAGAATGTAAAACTAGAGTTTAGCGACGAGACTGTTACGTGGAAATATCATGGCCTGCGGCAACATCGAGGGTCTTTTGGGCGGTAAGACCGAGATCATTTTCTGTAGGGAAAAGCCGAGATGCCGCCATGACATTTCCAATTAACAGTCGAGTTCGATATACTGTACTATATATAATGAAAAGTGCCCAAATTAACAGTATATATCACTATTATGCCAAAATAATAATTTAACAGAACAAACCGTTTGTGTACAAAAATACGATACCTGACAACGACAAGAAGAGTGCACACCGTTTTAGACACATGTCTATATGTAAACATTTGATTTGGTATACTTTGCGCGTTGCGTTATCGATAACGACGACAAAACCTATATCGTTATCGCTTTTTCGTCTTGTCGCTAGCAACGCACCAAACGGCGCCGTGTCGCGCTGTCGTCTTGTCGTCCTGTCTCTAGCGAAGCACGCCAAACGGCGCGTTGTCGGGCGGTGCGTTGTCGCGATGTCGCCCTGTCGCTTGGTTTATAAGCCAATTTTGAGCCGAGCGACAATGTGACATCGCGACAACGCGCGCACGACAACGCGCCATTTGGCATGCATCGTTAGCGACAAGACGACAAGACGAAAGTCCAATAAATCGCCGTTTGGCGCTTTGTCGTGCTGTCGCTAAAGATAAAACGACGCACAAAAACGTTCCAAACAGCCACCATAGGTTTAAGATAATCATACCTATATTCAAAGTTCTGATAAGGAAAAAAAACTTGCAAAAATGAAAGCCATAGTTATGTAACTTCAAAAAGCAAGAACTTTGTATTTATAAGTAAGTGCTTAAATTATGGGTATGAATTAAGATATATCCAACTTGCCAGTTAAGGTTAACCTCGTATTGACAGACGGACGGTTTTATTTTTGTATTTCCGGGGGCATAAAAATAGTCCAAATGTCATTACTATGAGCACGAAATTAAATAGTTTATTTAATGTTTAAACAAGGTGAACTTACACAAAAACATCAAAAATAACACAGAACAAGGTTTTCTTAAGCCAAAAAGCAAACAAAACATTTCAATAAGTAGGAATAATTATGTGACACGAGAGTGAGAATTTATATATGATCGATTTGAATAATTGATTGAGAAATATTTACTCGTTTTAGCAAAGTCGTCGGTGCATAAGCTAATGCTAATTAATATAACAAATCTCGTAATATTTATATAACATTTTATTATCTAACTGATTAAATACCGTTTAAAAGTAGTCATAACAGAATTATTGTAACAATAGTGCGTTTCAAGATAAAATTAAGATATTATTTGTATATTTTTTCCGACATGTCTCCTTCATTTTAGGTCGGTTATCCAAAGGTCCGTGACCTTGGTTTGCGTTCAACAATGAAAACAATGGAAGATGACTTGCTAAAACAAACTACCAAACATAAAAAGTTTGTATAGCGGGAAAAGAAACCTGTGTAACCTGCAGAACACAAGAATTCTTCAGACGCCACTCAGTTATTGTCACATATAGAGCCTTCGATTTCATGGTATTACCTGTCACGGACTAACTGTTAGAGTACGGGCGTACTCACGGAAGTTCTTCATGTACCCTCTTTCCTATTTAAGAAAGACCCTTTATGTGTCATATGAAGTAAAAGGCCAGTGGGATGTAATGGATAATTTATTAGTTATGAGGTATGCGCATGCGTGAGAATGGCGGTACAATTTTTTTTTCTCTTGAAACTTGTGTGAAAAATAATAAATAAGCAATGATCTAAAGTTCTTTACAATATAAGAATGTTAATGTAAAAATTATTTGTATTCAGTTACATACTTTTCTCATATACTATTCGTAACCGTCATTCTGTTTATGGCGACGGACATTGTAAAATGTTTATGCCTTTTGAAATAAAATCTTGAAATCTTGAAATCTTATAGAAAATATAACAGGTTCTATGACCCTATATATAAAATTTACTTTTTAAAAGCAAAAAACCTCAAAGGACTACAAAATGTGTATTTTGTTTTTGTTCTTTTTTCTAAAAGGACATTCCAATAAACGAAATTGACCTTTTCGAAAACCTAGCTAAACAATATTTTCCGGTATATTATAGCTCTGGGGAATAACAGCATTATTACGTGATATTTCTTCTTTTTTTAATAGATGTAAAAACTTTATGTGTTAGAAAATTATCTATGTTCCTTTTATCTCCAAAATTAAAATGTTTGTAATGAAAATCGATCAATGACACCTGCCATAATAAATAGAGATATTTTTATTGCGTAAACTTGTGTATATTCATATATGCATGGAATCATTTTTACAATGACATTTAAGAATTTTTAAAAAATAATTGTTTTATTTCATAAGATACCTATTACACGCCTGTGCAGAAAGTACCGGAAACGGTGTTTAGCTACGTTTTCGAACAAGGAACTGTTGCGGTCACGTTAGCAGTTATAATATACTGTAACTGATACTATAATTTATAAACTTACCTAAAATGCATATGCATGTGAATAGTTGTGTTAACCTCCGCCGTCGCATTACACAGCGTTCTTCTTGCACGTGTAGCGATGTCTAGTAATTGAGGATGACAGAAGAAATTTTAATCCGCTCCACTGGTATATGTACACTAAAATTATCATTAAATGAATTTCTTAGGATCACTTTCATTCTATAATTGGGCATATAATCTTAAAAAAAATGATTTAGTAACGTGAATGTGGTCAGTGGAGCGGACCGGGATATAATAATACGGTATTGTTATCGCCTACAATTAAAAGCGCTCAGGGCACTAGGTGTACCAGCAGTAGTCTAGCACTTTACAAGCTGTTCAAATATTATCACTTTTATCAAGACAAATAATCGCATATCTGTTAAAATAACCGTTACACGGTTTAGTGGACATACATGAATGGACTTGCTGAGCGTAATTTACTTATATTAGCACCGTAGCACGAAATCTATCTACTTGCACGTTACTTCTTAGTTCAATAAATGTACACAAATGTATTTGTATTATTTAAAAAAATCAGAGAATTTAAAGCAAAATGTTTGAATACGGAAACGTTAAAGGACCTCAATTTAGTGAGATACTGAGGTGTAAGACGACTGATTTTTTGTTCAATTTGATTAGATGTTTATTCACACAGACTAGACCATTTGTTATTATTCTTAGCCACTTTTCTCAAAATGTTTGAAGTTTTTTGCTAGGAGAATCTAGTCAAACTCAAACTTAAATACCCATTAACTTTAACAGAAACCCATTTTTGAAGGTATGGTTTGGAATATTTAATGACGAAATGTTGATGTTTACGAATCGTATGATAAAAGGATTTATTATCATGAGAAAATATAATTTTTGGGACATTAAAAAAATGCCGCATCTAATCGGAAAGTGTGGTTATTTTCAGTCAAAATTTACGTGAAGTAAAGCTTGCACAGGGCCAGAAATTTGTTAGTATGCTCCTATGAATCCATAACATTGATTTTGCTCGAACACAGTTGGGATATGTAAAAAATAGATGAATACTTACCGTTCTGCGCCAACATGTATATATATATATATCATAGGAACTCTGGAACAGGACCGCATATTGCGGCGCATAAATCCGAATCCTTACCGGCTTTACATATAGTTTGTCCGACCTTTAAATATCTTTTCATATTATGCGAGCGGGTGGTCTTTAATTATCTAATCTCAATTAAATATAATCTGCTAATTTAAAAATCAGTCAAATTTACGGTATTTTATAATACCGTAAAATTTGACCAATTTTAAAAGAGACAGATTGGGTTCAGTTGATAATATATTTTTTGAGTCCATACACTCGGATAATACTAAAAGATATTTAGATGTAGCAGAAACGTATTTAAAAACCGTTACAAGATCGAAAATATACGCCGCAATCTGCGGTCCCGTTCTCGAGTTCCTATGATATATATATATATATTGATACGACGGGATATCCCTTTTTGGCGGTTTTTGCCTCCCAGTTAGTTTCTTTCGGGAATCTTTTATTAAACTATGTTATTAAATCAATTTGTGTATTTAGTATAAATAATGCTAGTTTATGGCATTTTAAATAAATGCCCGATTTTCATTCCAATCATGTGTTATTTCCCTAACGTGTTCGACCTATCCTGTGCTTTTAACCCTGATCTTAATTGGACAATACATAAATACTGGTACGGATGTCGACGGTTGAACGGCTGTCTACGAAAAGATACATTTTCGCCCACACAAAAACTTGCGTATCGTAAAAAGGTTCGGCGAAATAAAAGTTTTTTTTTTAATCTTTGCGGATAAAATAAATTGATTTGTGTTAAACGTCTGTTAAAACAAATTAAAATCAGTCGACTTAGTTAAAACATTTTGTATATTGTACATAGTAATTCAACTTGTAGTTCGCCAATTACAAGCTTGTTGTTGGGTATTCAACTTGTAGATCGGCTTGTACATTGTACATCGTATTTAACTTGTAGTTCGCCAATTACAAGCTTGTATATTTGAAGTACAAGCTAGTAGTTGGGTATTCAACTTGTAGTTCAGCCCAGATACATGAGCATACGTTATACTTGAATTACAAGCTAGTAGTTGGATATTCAGCTTGAAGTTCGGACCAATTACACCAGCATACATTATATTTGAATTACAAGCTGTAGTTTGGTATTCAGCTTGTAGTTCAGCCCAGATACATGAGCATACGTTATACTTGAATTACAAGCTAGTAGTTGGGTATTCAACTTGTAGTTCAGCCCAGATACATGAGCATACGTTATACTTGAATTACAAGCTAGTAGTTGGGTATTCAGCTTGTAGTTCAGACAAGATACACCATCATACACAATATTTAAATTACAAGCTAGTAGTTGGGTATTCAGCTTGTAGTTCGGACCAGATACACCAGCATACATAATATTTGAATTACAAGCTAGTAGTTGGGTATTCAGCTTGTAGTTCGAACCAAATACAAAAGCATACATAATATTTGAATTACTAGCTAGTAGTTGGGTATTCATATTGTAGTTCGGACAATTACGTCAGTTTACATTAAATTTGAATTACGAGCTAGTAGTTGGGTATTCAGCTTGTAGTTCGGACTAAATACACCAGCATACACAATATCCATCGGCATACATTATATTTGAATTACAAGATAATAGTTCGGTAATAAGCTTGTAGTTCATCCCAGATACATGAGCATACATAATATTTGAATTACAAGCTTGTAGTTGGATATTCAGCTTGAAGTTCGGACCAATTACACCAGCATACATTATATTTGAATTACAAGCTGTAGTTTGGTATTCAGCTTGTAGTTCGGACCAGATACATCAGTATATATAATATTTGAATTACAAGCTTGTAGATGGGTTTTCAGTTTGTAGTTCGGCCAAGATACATTAGCCTACATTATTTTTCAAAGCTTGTAGTATGCTATTCAGCTTGCAGTTCGGCCGAGATACATTTGACTGCATACTATTTGAATTACATGTTTGAAGTATGCTATTCAGCTTGTAGTTCGGACCAAATTTATCAGCATACATTATATTTGAATAACAAGCTTGTAGTTTGGTATTCAGCGTGTAGTTCCACCAAGATACATCAGTATAAATAATATTTGAATTACAAGCTTGTAGATGGCTATTCAGCTTGTAGGTCGGCCAAGATACATCACGATACATAATATTTGAATTTCATGCATGTTAATGGGTATTCAGCTTATAATTCGGATCAGATACATCAGCATACATACTATTTGAATTAAAAGCTAGTAGTTGTGTATTCAGCTTGTAATTCGTCCCAGATACATCATAATACATAATTATTGAATTACAAGCTTGTAATTGGTTAATCAGCTTGTAGTTCGGTCCATATACATCAGCAAAGAAAAAAATGAACTACAAGCTTGTAGATGGGTATTCATCTTGTCTTATTATTCTTCCCAGATACATTATAAATAATAGAAAGAGCATCGAAACACGAGGCTATCTGATTTGTACAAGGGGGCATAGCCTACGAGTATTAATCAGATTGCCGAGTGTTTTGATGTTCTTTCTCTTTTGTATCATAGTCTAACATAAAAACACGTTCCCTGTTGTCACAATATGAAACCCCGGGAAAAAGTAACCTATGACAAGCATCTGAATATGATAATTCTGTCGTTTTCCCTTTCTCTTCCGTCATAATAAGTAAACCCCAGCTAAAATGAGCCAATCAATGGGCATGCTCTGGAGTGCGGGTAACTAATACCTGCACTCCAGTTAACGTACTGTGCATGTATATGTATACGATTTAACTCTGACACATTTTCAACAGAAAGGTCCCCAAACTATGATACAATACATTATTATTGAATTACAAGTTTATCAGCTTGTTGTTCGGCCCAGATACACCAGCATACAAAATATTTGAATTACAAGCTTGTAGTCGGGTATTCATCTTGTTATTCGTCCTAGATACATCAAAATACAAAATAATTCAATTACAAGCTTGTAGTTGGGTATTCAGCTTGTAGTTCGGCCCAGATACATCAGTATAAATAATATTTGAATTACAAGCTTGTAGATGGGTATACAGCTTGTAGTTCGGCCCAATAATATAACAAGCAATATTCAGCTTGTTGTTCGGCTCAGATAATATAACAAGCAATATACAAGCTTGTAGTTGTGTATTCAGCTTGTAGTTCGGCCGAGATAGATCAGCATATATAATATTTGAATCACAAGCTTGTACTTCTGTATTCAACTCGTAGTTCGCCACATCTGTTTCAGCGTGCATAATATTTGAATTACAAGCTTGTCGTTGAGTATTCAACTTGTAGTTTGTTCAAGAGACACAAGCATGTATATTATTTAAGGTGTAAAGTTTGTACATGCTTTTTTATTGCCTATAGTATAAATCTGAACGGTCGAGGTTGAGTGATTTTACCTTATATCTCCTTTTTATTAGTTCTATGATTGCCGAACCCTATCCAAAGTGTTTGATATCGTCTACACTACAAATCTGTGAGATTACGGTTGAGTGATATTGCTACATAATTCTTTTAACACCTTCTAAAGACTTTGGTTTGGTGATTACTACAAATCTGGGTGGTTACGATTGGGTCACGGTTGAGTGTATTTGGTCCAAACTACAAGCTGAATACCCAACTACAAACTTGAACTTCAAATATAACGTATAAAGCTTGTAATTCAAATATTATGTATGCTGGTGTATCTGGTCCGAACTACAAGCTGAATACCCAACTACTAGCTTGTAATTCAAATATTGTGTATGCTGGTGTATTTGGTCCGAACTACAAGCTGAATACCCAACTACTAGCTTGTAATTCAAATATTGTGTATGCTGGTGTATCTGGTCCGAACTACAAGCTGAATACCCAACTACTAGCTTGTAATTCAAATATTGTGTATGCTGGTGTATCTGGTCCGAACTACAAGCTGAATACCCAACTACTAGCTTGTAATTCAAATATTGTGTATGCTGGTGTATTTGGTCCGAACTACAAGCTGAATACCCAACTACTAGCTTGTAATTCAAATATAATGTATGCTGATGTATCTGGGCTGAACTACAAGCTGAATACCCAACTACTAGCTTGTAATTCAAATATTGTGTATGCTGGTGTATCTGGTCCGAACTACAAGCTGAATACCCAACTACAAGCTTGTAATTCAAATATAAAGTATGCTGGTGTATCTGGACTGAACTACAAGCTGAATACCCAACTTCTAGCTTGTAATTCAAATATTGCGTATGGTGGTGTATTTGGTCCGAACTACAAGCTGAATATCCAA